GGAGGCAGGAACGGAGGAGAAAGCCTGTGCGCTGGGGAGGGAAACTGCTCAGATGGTAGAAGGGACGGGAGGCAGGAACGGAGGAGAAAGCCTGTGCGCTGGGGAGGGAAACTGCTCAGATGGTAGAAGGGACGGGAGGCAGGAACGGAGGAGAAAGCCTGTGCGCTGGGGAGGGAAACTGCTCAGATGGTAGAAGGGACGGGAGGCAGGAACGGAGGAGAAAGCCTGTGCGCTGGGGGGGGAAACTGCTCCATATATAAAGCGCACTGGGTTATAAGCCGCACTGCCGGTTTTTGATCAAATTTTAGGATTTTCAGTGCGGCTTATAGTCGTGAAAATACGGTATATCCAGGCTAATATGTGTGCAAAATCTAACTCTGTTAAAGGCTTTCTTGTTTGGTACAAATTTACTGAACACAAGTACTATCTTATGTAAATGCATTTCAGAGAAGTCCAGGAAGACAGCTTTTCACACAATTTGTGTGTGAAACAATTTCATCAACAAGATCCAGTGTGTCCACATTTTGTGAATTTTCATCACTCAGCTTTAAAGTTTTCTTGTGTGCAAACTGTATTTTGTTAGAGACGCATGAGCATTTCAATGAATAGTCTGGATAATTTTGCCTTGCCTTGTTCATTTTTCATTCTTTGTATTTATGTGACAAATTCTGTATTTCTATGATAAATTGAAAACTGCTTAATAAACAAAAATGTACTTGAAATTATAATATTATAAATATAAATAATGTATTCTATATTTTTAAAAGTTGTCCCTGTCAAAGATGTGCTGAAATTGTAGAAACGCTGATAGGAATAAATCAACAGCTGTATTGACAATCTTTCCCCCAGATGGAAACCACAAAAATATTGATACTTGTGTGTGAATTCAAGAGCAATTTAAAAGAATTAAATAGCACATTTTTACACATTTACTGATTCCCTCTTCTGGGTATTCCCTTACCACACTGGAGTGAAAAAATATATGTATTAAAAACACTTAGGGGCAGAGAGGTGCTTCTTCCATTGGTTTTTGGGAAGAATACATTCATACAAAATATGTATACAAAGAGTAAAATACTATTAATATTCTTATTAATGGTGGTTTGGTTGGTAATAGCAAAATACTGGAAATATCTAAAAAGGACACTGAAGAAAAATGATATGACATACTTACTTCTTTGATGGAAAAATTAATATGTAATTTCTTCTTAGTTGAAGAAAAAACAATTTTTTTCTGTGGTATGATTTTTTTAAGCTCTCTAGTAATGAAAACAATAATCAACCACCAAGATGATCTTATGAGAATAAGGAAGCTATAAATGTGCTGTAAATGTATTGTATGCTGATATTAACAATGTCATTGCTTTGCAAGGCATTAAAATGTTATGATCTGAATTTGTAAGGTGCATAAAAAACAGAAACCAAATGCACACATGTATGATTGAAACAAAAAAGTCAGTCAAGAATTTATGAATATTACTGTTCCAGAAATTCTTCTGCACATGATTCAAGGTTCCTTTACAAAAGACTTCACTTATCCATATAAGAAAGCTTTGTGCCTTCGCCTTCTTTCAATTCCCCAGTCAAGCAAGCCTTTACAGCTGCTTCACTGTCCAGTTTGCAGATCAGAACAGGAATGGATCCATGACTCGAAGAAACTATATTTATGGCAGTTTGTAGTTTCAAGGACACTCCTCCAGTAGTGTCATGTGATAGTGCAGATGTGAGCACAGTTGGCTCCATAGTTCTTTCAGGACCAATAACAATGGAATCCACCAGCCTAGCACCTGTTCAAAAACAAAGGACTTGGAATGCAACATACAAAAGCCAGTCCTAAAATATAAACACACTAGCATGGAAACAACTAATTTTGAAAGTTTACCAAAAATCATTTCCACTGCTAGATTTCAAAGAGAAACATAATGGTTAAGACTGTGTTAAATATAACAAAATAGTGTAACCATGTTTTGCTGTCCTGTTCCCCTGTACCCTTTGTGTTGGAGGCACTGCTTAAGGAGCTTTTGGGTTGAAAGGATTAGCTGGTGACATCACCATTGCCCAGACAAGCCCATGGGGTATGACCCTGTCAAAAACAGGAGTGAATGACAGGAGGTCACACCCCACCCAGCAGCACTTGTGTCTCAAATGCGAGCTTGCTAACCTCCAACCCAGCATCTAACCACATGTCACATGCTCCTATCACTATCTGTCGCTACCTCCTTAACTAAAGGATGTATTTTACGTGACTACGGTGCAAGTCCAAGAAGAAAGAAAGAAAGAAAGAAAGAAAGAAAGAAAGAAAGAAAGAAAGAAAGAAAGAAAGAAAGAAAGATCTATCTATCTTTCTATCTATCTTTCTATCTATCTTTCTATCTATCTATCTATCTATCTATCTATCTATCTATCTATCTCTCGCTCTCTATCTATCTCTATCTCTATCTATTATCTATCTATCTATCTATCTATCTCTCGCTCTCTATCTATCTCTATCTTATCTCATCTATCTACTATCTATCTATCTATCTATCTATCTATCTATCTATCTATCTATCTATCTCTCGCTCTCTATCTATCTCTATCTCTATCTATTATCTATCTATCTATCTATCTATCTCTCGCTCTCTATCTATCTCTATCTTATCTCATCTATCTACTATCTATCTATCTATCTATCTATCTATCTATCTATCTATCTATCTATCTCTCGCTCTCTATCTATCTCTATCTCTATCTATTATCTATCTATCTATCTATCTATCTCTCGCTCTCTATCTATCTCTATCTTATCTCATCTATCTACTATCTATCTATCTATCTATCTATCTATCTATCTATCTATCTATCTATCTATC